AGCCATGGAGCCAGCAGGAGGCTTGGGTTTCCCCGGCAATTGAGGAAGCCAAGCTTCCTGCATCCCCTGGCCAGCCCAGGCCTCCGCTCAAGGCTACAAAGTTTCAATTATAAAAGATAAATGAATCCCAACAAAAATGGCTGCAGCCACAGAGCGAGAAGGAGGCTTGGGTATCCGTGGCAATGGAGGAAGCCAGACTTCCTGGCTGGCCTTGGTCTCTGCTCAAAGTTACAAAGTTTCAATTATAGAAGATAAATAAATCCAAGAATGCAGGGCCTCCTCTTAGGTCACAGGGGTGCATGGCCAGCCTGCAAACCACCACAGGCTCCTCACCCAGGCTTACCCCACACCCCAAGAGAACCCCCACTCTGATCTGGCACACCCTTCAGGGAAAACCAGCTAGCCCCCACCTTTGCACCAGGCCTCTATCCTATCTAATAAAAAAAACAATATGCAAATTGACCATTACTCCAATACACAAAATGGCTGCCCCCATGTGGTCAAAGATGGCTGCTCCCATGTGGACACAAGATGGCCAGCAGGGGAGGGCAGTTGGAAGGAACCAAACCTGCAAAAGAAGGCAGTTGGGGGCGAGCAGAGGAGGGCAGTTAGGGGTGGCCAGGTTGGCAGAGGAGGAAAGTTGGGGGGGACCCAGGCCTACAGGGGAGAGCAGTTGTGGAGGACTAGGCCTGCAGGGGAGGGCAGTTAACAGTGACTAGCCCTGCAGGGGAAGACAGTTCAGGGCAATCAGACTGGCAGGGGAGTGGCTAGGGGGTGATCAGGCTGGCAGGCAGAAGTAGTTAGGGGCAATCAGGAAAGCAGGCTGGCGAGCAATTGGGAGCCAGCAGTCCTGGATTGTGAGAGGGATGTTCGACTGCCCCCCGAGGGGTCCCAGATTAGAGAGGAGGGTGCAGGCTGGGCTGGGGGACACACATCTCAGGTGCACGAATTTCATGCACCAGGCCTCTAGTGTGTGTGCATATATATATATATATATTCAGAAATAATACAGCTGCAGAGCAGACCCACCAACAAATCTTAACACACTAGAGTGGTCTCTCTACGGGATGACAAATGCACTTCTTGTTCTCTATGTCTTTATTGGGTGAAATAAGATTTCATGAAGCAGTAACAAAAAAATAAACATTAGTTTTTTAAAATTGGAAGATATGCTCAATGTAGAAATGTGGAAATGTAAAAAGACATAATGAATATGAAATTTACAATTTACATTTAATCTCACCAGTCAAATTATTTTGTATTACTTTTTATATTTTGTGTTATCAAATGTTTTTCAAGTTTATTTTGCTACATCTTTTGAGGTATTTTTCCCATACATATACTATAAGCTCATGCAACTGCTTTTTTTTTAACTTAACATAATAATTCTAATATATCATTCTTTTATTTCATATTCTTTTTTTGGAATCACTTTTCATGACAGCTTTATCATTTCTTACTCTTTGATCCTTTGATGGGTTTGAGATTTTGCTCTTAAATAATATTAATGAAAATCTTTTTTCTTTATCCTTCACTCAATTGTAAGTGTGTCTGTTGTGCCAAAAATCTGCTTTTATACCAGTGGGGGGAAAAGCACAGCTAAACAGTGGTACTTGGTACCTAATTCCAGAACTCATCAAGTAAATTAAAATACTAAAAATTTTTTTTTAATATATCTTATTGATTTTTTTCAGAGAGGAAAAGAGAGGGATAGAGAGTTAGAAACATGGATGAGAAAGAATCATCGATCAGCTGCCTCCTGCACACCTCCTACCAGGGATGTGCCCGCAACCAAGGTACATGCCCCTGACCGGAATCGAACCTGGGACCTTTCAGTCCTCTGGCCGATGCTCTATCCACTGAGCCAAACCAGTTTCGGCTAAAATACTAAAGTTTGATGTGTTTTTATTCAGTGTAGTTATCTTTTCTGATGTACTTTATTTACTCCATTTGCTGTACATTAAAGTTTTGTCTGGCTAATATGAAAACGAAAGGACAGAAACTAACATTTCCTTTATGCAGTTAATCTTTATTGAATGTCATTTCTTTTTTTATACAGAGACTAACACTCTTTTTACCAGTTACTTTCTAGATACATTAGGTCAATTATGACTTCTGTTTATGTTCAGTTGAGCTCTTTTTTATAGTTCCTCAGCCCAAATACCCCAAAGCCCCAAAATACCCCAAAACATTCAAATGCTTACCTTGCTTCCAGTCTCGAGTTGTCCTTTATTCTACCTTGGAACATCTTCTGGTGTGCACGTTTATGCATCCACCCACCTCTCTGCTTTGTGTCTTCCATTTTAATGCCAGATTTGTTGAGCCATCGTTTCGAATGATGTTGCAGCTAACAGTATTACTCCTTTTGCAGTATCTTCCCTGTCAGCAAGGCTTACCCTTGACTTGCTTGTGGTGTTGATGGCCTGTGTTTCAATATTCACTTTCACTTATGTATGACCCAGATGCCTGCAACATGCTAAGTGAGATGCTTTGAGGGAGCTGAGAAACAGGCTATGGTCACAGGCAAAGGTCATTCCAAATGGCCTCTGTGGCTCTGAGGCAACTATTGGGCGCACATCTCGCTACTGCCCTTTTACAGAGGGCATCTGTTGTGTCCACAGTATGTAGCTCCCAAGGTCATTGCTGTTAACCCTGTAACAAGAGGTTAGGTATGTGCATTTCAGGAGAGGGGAATTGCATAGGAAAGACAGAAAGAGAGCAGCTCAGCACCTTTCACCAGACTCACAGGCAAGAAATCAGAGGGTAGAGCAAAGGTGGGGCAAAGGGCTTCTGGGGACCTCAGGAGACCAGCGTGAGCAGGTGGGAACAGGAGCGAAAGTTGTCTCTGTCGGTAACTGAGTTCCCATGACATGTGCAAGCGCAGATGATACAGCATTAAGGGTATTGTGAGAGCCAAATACGAATTTTCCAAGCACTTCGGCTAGCTGATGCGTCTGGAGGAAAATATCAAATTGATTTGGGCAGTGAGGGGGGTGCTTTCTAGTGCAGGAGCCTCGTTTTTATTTTGACTTTTAATCACTTCATCCTTTTCTGTGTGTTTGATTCTGAAAATTTATAAAATACAGAGACTAAAGAAGGAAACTTGAGTCATCTGAAATCCTACCTCTGGAAGATAACTATTACTAATATTCTCAAGTATTTCTTTCACATATATGTTTTACAAATTCCAAACCATTACCTACACTTGTAGATTTGAATCTTTTCTTTTCACATAGTGTTCTACGGTGAGATAGTCTTTGTGTTGCTAATTTTACCAAAAACATAACCTCAGTGGCAGCGTGGTATTTCTATGCATGTGCCATTTTTCTTAAATGACTCACCTGCTGTTGGACACTTAAGTTGTGGTGTTTTCAGTAACGTGAGCAACACTATTCTGTGTATCCATGTGGCATGCTAATGATTTCCCTAATGAACTCCAGGATGTCAGGCTGGGGCTGTGCCTACATACTCCCCACTAGCCTGCTGAAAAGTGATCTCCTATTGCACTGTGCTAACAGTGGATTCGAGTGCCTGTCCATTTCAACACACCTCAGCCAACAGCCCCTATTACATTGCAAAGAGGGGACAGCAGTACGTTTGCTTTGTTATGCATGAGAGAAAGAAACTAAAAGTTGAAGCCACAATCTCAGTTCTAAATATTGTGGAAGTCTAGAGACTCTAAGTCAGTGGTTCTGAACCTTTTTAATGCCGTTGATGAACTGTTAATGAATGGTAATGTAAATATCTGTGTTTTCTGATGGTCTTCCCCACAGGTTGAGAACCGCTAGCTTGATGGTGTCACTTAAGACCATCAGAAAACACAGATATTTACATTATGATTCCTAACAGTAGCAAAATTATAGTTATGAAGTAGCAACAAAGATAATTTTATAGTTGGGGGTCACCACAACATGAGGAACTATATTAAAGGGTGGGGGCATTGGAAAGGTTGAGAACCACTTCTCTACGCCCTTAAATAAACTATCAGCTGCAGTGCGTTTCTGTATATAAATTGGGTTCATTTGAACAGCATCTACAATGTTAAACCTTCACCCCAGAAAAAAGAGATTGTGATAAAATATTGAAAAAGCTTACTTTAATTTAAAAAATTAAGCTTCTCTTAGGCATATTTTAAAGTTTTAACAATGTTTTCTAGTTTTATAGGAGGTGTGTGTGTGTGTGTGTGTGTGTGTGTGTGTGGAGTTTTGTGGTATAATTTTAAAATAGCTCTCCATGATGTGCTCTCCCTTGATTAATTTTTAATTTCTCTTTTTCCTTGATACTTAAGCTTACATCTCTATATCCAGTAAGAATATAAGTTCTATTTTCAAATGATTGACTACTTTAATCATTTTAATTCACATTGCTAATAGCATTGCAGAGTTAAACAAAAGCCTTGATTGAAACCATGTCGCCTTCCTTGTTATCAGGATTTCATAGTTAGGGAAATTAGTAGCAAGATGATCCTATAAATCTGGTAAACCCCCAAATTATGGGGCTGACCCAGACCTTAGAAATCGGCAACACCCATCCTTTCATTTGGACGTTGAGGACATGGATGCTAGATTGGTGCGGGCACATTTCTGGGTCATTCTGCTGGACAACGACCCTTCCCTTCACCCTGGGTGTTTACATCTGGGTCCTCACAGGCCACACTGACAGCTGAAATATCTAGTACTCTATTCTTATCCCTAAACTTTGTCTCTCCTGAGAAATATGTATAAGAATAAAGTTTCTCCTGGTTCCCTGATTATCCTTTCTAACTCCAACTTCATTCAATTTGTGGTGTGAACTAAGTTGGTAAACTATTATACATAAATCAGTTGCCTTTCAGGAACTAGAATAAATTCAGACATTTTATAATACTGAAGCTGCCTATGTCTCAGATTCCAAATTAACTAGACTTTGGCTTTAGCAGGCTGATCTCAAGGATAAAAATGGGTGGGAGGAATACGATCACACATGTGAAGTACGCTTTTCTTGTTTGTTTTTCTTACCAGGTACCTGTATGCCCTTGGACAGAAGGTTTGGAAAAGATGGAAAAAACGTTACTTTGTTCTTGTTCAGGTTAGTGAATGTCTTCCTGTTACTTAATTGCTCTAAGAGAGCAGCTCTCAAACTTTTCTTTTTGTGGGTTATATCTACCAATATTTACTGTATTAAAAATTAAAATTGAAGTAAAGTTTAAGTATTTATTTTAAAATAAAAGTAGTAAGTTCATGACTTACTAACACAAATTACATTTTTATATATAGCAGCTATTTTCCAAACCAAACTATTTAGTGACACAAATGGCCTTCATATTTTGTACATCTCCTTAGTGTCTGCTTTGATAGAAAGCAGCTGGATTTTTATGTCAGCTCCTACACTCAATCTGTTGAATATTGCGTCAAATTTAACTTCTGGAAAACTCCGCTGTACCCTCATGAGAGAATAGCTGTGAAAAAGGCAGAGGGTGCCTGAATATTATAAAAATAGTTTTGACCTCATAGGTCCCCTGAAAATTTTTGGAAGGTCTTTTGGATTATCAAATGATACCTTGAGTACCAGTTATCATTCTGATATTTTAAAGGTAAACATACACAAAATCACTCATTTTATACAGATATGCCATATATATGTCACTTGCTTACATAGTTATGTCTTTAAATCACTTGACTGGTAGGTTATTTGCGATAGGATTCTGAATGTAGACCATTACTAGAATATATAGTTTGGCTGACACTTTGGTTGTGTGGATTTATGTTTTGTTCTTTTTAATCATGGATAACATTGGCTCATAGAATATATTCAATAAGTTAAATTTGCAGTAAAGAATAACTTTCTGAGTAGTAGTCATTTTATTCTATGATAAGCCTAAGGTATTTTATTTCCAATGGGAATATATTAAAAACCTCATTTTTTTAATTTTTAACATAAAACTTAACACAAAACTAATTGATTCCTACCCACACATTAAGCAAGCTTAAATGATCTAAATCAGGATGATATGATGAAATGCCAAGGAAGGAAATTTGTATTTTCTATCTTCTAGCAATATGTCCACCTATCAATTGCTAAATAAATTATTTGCCATATGGCATAGAAATTTATGAAAAATAATTTTAAAAATTTAGTCAAAAGTAGTTTTATCTACATTGCAGTCCGTCTATCTTTTATTTTTAATGGCTAACATGTAACGTTTTCTTGTGTGATTAGAACCAGTATTTTTTTTTTAGTATGTATTACCATTGTTTTTAATATGATTTATTTAGTTGTAAGTTTATATAATTTTTTATTTATTTTTAAAAAAATATTTATTGTTGAAAGTATTACCTATGTCCCCTTCCCTCCATTGACCCTTTAACTAATTCAATCAAAGGGGTACACACAGGTGCACTCACACTGATAGTCTTTTGATATGAAGCCCATGCATTTTCTTTGAGTAAGAGCACCGTTTGAAGTTCTTGGTGATCTGTCTTCCAAAACCCCACCTGTACATCATGTTTTGGTTTACAGATTTAATTTATTCATATTGGCACAAGAACTAAAATGCATTTACCAAGCAGTTTGAGTGCACATCTTTCTGGACATTTTGATTTTATTCCCAGCTATATCTACATCTAATTTGACAAGTTTATGTTGGTGACTTGTCTTTATCAAGTCTTTCTAAAGTATTCAACTGATTTTTCATAGAAACGGCAGCTTCTTTTTCATAATCATATTTCATACATTTATTTAGAAACTTAACTCCATAATTTCAGTACCTTATGTTACTGGCATAAACACTCCCAGCTGATTCTTTTTTAAAAAAAATATATTTTATTGACTTCACACAGAGAAAAATGAGAGGGATAGAGAGTTAGAAAAGTCGATGAGAGAGAAAGATCGACCAGCTGCTCTTGCACACCCCCCACTGGGGATGTGCCCACAACCAAAGGTACGTGCCCTTGACTGGAATCAAACCCAGGACCTTTCAGTCTGCAGCCCAACGCTCTATCCACTGAGCCAAACCGGTTTCGACCCCAGCTGATTCTTAATAGCCATTGAGTTTTACAAGAAACTCTTTTTTTTTAATTTAATTTTTTCCTTTTTTATGTAAGACTTAATTTTTAAGAGCACCTTTAGGTTAAAAATTGAGAGAAAGGTACAGAGATTTCCCATATAACTCCTGCCCCCACACATGCAGTCTCTCCTATTATCAACATCACGTGATACATTCATTACCAAGGAGGAACTGACATTGACACATCCATGAGTGTCCTAAGTCCATAGCTTACATTACGGTTTACTGTTGGTGTTGTGCATTATGTATATTTGGATAATTGTAAAATGACACGTATCCATCATTATAATACCATGCAGAGGTTTCCACTGCCCTACAAGTCTTCTGTGCTCTGCCTCTGCATTCTTCTTCTTCACTGGGCAACCACTGGTCTTTCCTATTATCTCCGTAGTTTTCCTTTTCTAGAATGTCATATTGTTGGAGTCAGACAGTATATAATATAGACTTTTCAGATTGAGGTCTTGCCTTTAGAAATATGCATTTAAGGTTTTTCCATAGCTTAAAAGCTCACTTTTTAAAAGCACTGAATAATATCCCATTGTCTGGATGAACCACAGTTTATCTATTTAACTACTGAGGGGCATCTTGGTTGTTTCCAAGTTTTAGCAATTATGAATAAAGTTACTTTAAACATCCATGTGCAGATTTTTGTGTGTGGATATAGGTTTTCAACTCCTTTGGGTAATTATCAAGGAGCTCAATTGCTACATATAATTATTGGAGATAGGTTAAGTGACAATAGGTAAGCATATCTAATATACTGATTGCTTTAATAAGAAAATTAGGCTTTATTAGATCAGTCCTGGTTTGGGGGGGGGGGTGTTTATCCTCTTTTGAGAAATGTCTACTCTGCCCATTTTTAAATTGGACTGTTTGTCTTCCTTTAGTTATGCTGCATGAATTATATATTTTGGAAATTAACCCTTAAACTGATATATAATTGGCAAATATTCTCTCCCATACAACGGGACCCCTACGTCCTTCACACAGACTCCGAGTTCTCTCTGCTTCCACTTTCCGCCATTCTCCTTAAAATCTTCTCATTGCCGGAATAATCTACTTGAACATAACTCTTATTTTGCCAAGTTGCTCCTTAAATCTTTCCATGACTTCCCCTTAAGCTTAGAATACCCCTGACCATCATCTAGAGAAGGTCCTGCATATTCTGGCCCCTGGTTTCCTCTCTGCTGGATCCCTTCCTGTTACTGAGCAGCACCTTTAACGCGTACCATTCTGTGCCCAGATAAATGCCAATAATTGGAGTTTAGCACCTCCAAGTCATCAGCCCTGCTCTCCAAAGATACTTCCACTAAATGTATAATATGGGTGTGCTTTTTAAATGTGATTTCTATGCAAATATGCCTTTGATTTAAATCCCCTGTTGTTGTTTGTTGTTGTTGTTTAACCCAGTTGAAGCTTGGCTAGCTGGCTTTCGTTTTCTTTATGGTGGCTCATTCTAGCTTCCCATTTTAGGGATCAGGTCACATGCCACTTCCAATGGGTGTCTTCCATCCTTCCGCTCTAGATCACCCTTCAACTCACTCCTATCACATTATATTTCTCAGAGCATTTATCTCTCTCAAAATTATTTTTACTTCCATATTTATTTTTTATTATCTCTTTAACCTTTCCTAGAATACATGCTCCATGAAACTAAGGACATTATCTTCCTTATAAGCTACTATGAGTAGAAACTAAGCATTTGTAAAATAAATGCATATATCTGAATAGCTCTGAACATTGTTTTTAAAAGACTGCCTTTTCTCTTTCTAATTCATATACACTGATTGCTAAGTCTTTTTATGCCATTCAGTTGAGACAATAAATATATCGTTCCCCTAAACCCATCATGCTCTTAAAGATATATTCATTTTCTTTGATTAAATTAAGCTATGAGATTAAAAAAAAAATTCTACCAGCACCTTTGGCCTCTGCTAGGAGCGTTTCCAGCTAAGGATTTTAAGTCTTAATCTTTACTGAAATTAGATGGTGGCAGTTGCTAAGCTGCCAGCTGTTAACATGATCCCTGCAGCAGGAATACAGCCTGCTAATCTGAACGCTGTGGTCTCTAAAAGCTCATAGCTAGCCCTTCACCATGTGGACATGGGCAGGTGTTGAACAGGTTGGCAATTGAAAACAAAATGGGAGCTTGCCCAGACCAGGTGCAGACACCTCGTGGGGCCTGAGCACCTTCCGTTACAGTGGCCTGTCATAGGTCGTGATGTCAGACCCTGATTTAACGCTGCTGCCCTCAGATTTAAGTCAGTTTAAATCCCACAATTCTCAGTAAACCCATTATTTTTGGAGTTGTTAAGAGCCGATTGGGTTATGGACATTGAGTGTATATCATTGCTCTGCCTTTTGCTGAGAGGATTTTTCATTGCGATATAGTATAATATGTAAGCTTTGTTCAGTAATATACTAGAAAGCTTAGAGGAGAAAACAAAGACCAGATCAGAATAGGTCAGACCACCTGTCACTCTTTCACTCCCTGGCATGTGGTGATGGGGCGGCAGTCTGCCTCCAACTAGGAGCACAGTGGGCAGGGCGACCCCCTGGTCCCTGCTGTTTGTCTTTCAGCAGCTTCCTTTAACTGTTAGTGCCAACCGATGTTGACATTTTTTTCAGAGTGTAACTTCTCCACATTACCCTTCATCTGGATACTGCCTACAAGGTGTTAGCACTCTCCTGATGGTTCGCTTGAATTGGCCCTGCAGACTGGGTGTGGGCTTTGCCTCAGGAGTGGGATTTAGCATGACCTTGCAAAAGAGAAGGGCACAAGTGAAAGTCGTTGGAGACACTAGAGGAATCCAAAGAAGCACAAAAGGCAGCACCGTTTTCTGGAAATAGGAAGTTGCTTCTGGAACCAACGTATTTGAAAGCCAAACTGCACGTGGCCGGTGTCTCCCGGGTCGGTTCTTAATTGCCGGTGGCAGCTTTGCCATCGTTGGTGTTGTGTTCCTCTTCCAGCTGCACTCCTCATTAGACTGGAGGCCCAGGTATCAGTGACGGATTCGGGGTGGGTCTGGTGACTTTTGAGATGTTAAAATTAATTGACTATTAAAAGAAGAATGAAATAAAATAAGCATTTAATACTTTATCATTTAAATCAACATGACTTCTAAAAGTAAGCATTTCCTCTAAAGCTATTGGATTTTTTTTTGGGGGGGGGGAGGGAGGGGGGTTATGGAGTACCTCTAAAGATCTTGAAATACACCAGAGAACAGAGTTACCAGACATAAAGACAGGAAGACAGGCAGCCCTTTCTCTAAAAATAGCCCTCATTAGTTCATCTTATGCCTAATAACCAGATATTTTTTTCTCTTGTTTCTCTCTTTGAACAAACCAAATCACTCAAACTACCTCATCTGAAGAAAAACAAGAGTAAAATTCAAACTCTTTTTACCAGTCCAACCGGCGTGGCTCAGTGGTTGAGTGTTGATCTATGAAGCAGGAGGTCACGGCTTGATTCCCCGTCAGGGCAGATATGCAGGTTTCCGGTCAATTCTTACTCAGGGCGCGTACAGGAGGCAATAACTGCTTCTCTCTCATATTGGTGTTGTTCTCTCTCTCTCCCTCTCCCTTCTTCTCTTTCTAAAAAAATAAATAAAACATTTAAAAAAAAAAACTCTTAAAGGTTATAAATACACAAAAAGTTATGATTTAAAAAAAATGGGTGAGGTATATATACACGTTAGGATATTATTATATTTCTATTTACGTTTGAAGTATCTGATCCTGTTTTAAAGATAACACTGCATTAAACCACTTTATGGAAGAAGAGTGGAACTTTGGACTAAGTTACTGTTCTTGGTAAGAGAATGATCTTCTTTTTAGAACAAGTAATAGAATGGCTGGACAACACCAGCCCCCAAGAAAAACCTCACAATCAGACCTTTTTTTTTTTTTTTTTTTCACAAAAAACAAAACAAAACTGAAGTCTTCTTTAATAACAAACCACTGTGTAAACCACTGGGTTTTATCTGCAAGCCTTAGGCATAGACAGGTGAAAAGTAAGTTCATCGGCAATCTGGGAGGTGAAAAAGAAAAGAAAACCTTCAGAGTAGCAGGAGCCACAAGTGTCTCAAGTTATTAGCCTCACTCTTTCCAAACAAGGGTTTGTTTGTTTGCTTGTTTTCCAAAGTGGAACTCGCTGTACTTTTTATAAATTAAAATAAATCATAATCTTTTGGGGGGAAAACTCAAAATACTGAAAAAAATCTAGATATATAAAAGCATAAGCAACTGAACTATCAGTCCGACCAGTTGCTATGATGTACACTAACCACCAGGGGGCAGACGCTCAACACAGAAGCTGCCCCCTGGTGGTTAGTGCATTCCCACAGCCAACCTTTCATAGCCGTCCAACCTCCCATGACCCCTCTTCCCTTCGCCACCCCCTCTCCCCCTAGCCAGTTGGCCGTCACCCCACTCCCCCTTTATCAGCCCTGATCACTGGACAGTCAAGGGACCCACGAAATCATGCACCAGGCCTTTAGTAATTTATAATAACCTATAATGTCTCCATCCAATAGTAGCCATTATTAATATTTTGTAAATACCCTTTCTATTTATGTATGCATAGTATATACTGTGAAATTACACTCTGTATTTTTTTTTTTAAATATTGATTTTTTTACAGAGAGGAAGGGAGAGGGATAGAGAGCTAGAAACAGAGATGAGAGAGAAACATCGACCAGCAGCCTCCTGCACATCCCCTACTGGGGATGGGCCCGCAACCAATGTACATGCCCTTGACCGCAATCGAACCCGGGACCCTTCAGTCCGCAGGCCAATGCTCTATCCACTGAGCCAAACCGGTTTTGGCTGTATTTTTGTTTTTAACCTGCTCTTTATCTTATAAGATATCTTAGAAATAGTTTCATGTCTAGAGAATAAAATCTGTCATATCTCTTCAATAGCTATGGACCATTATATTGTGTGGACAGTTTCTAAATTCTACTGTACTCAATGTCATCGCTTCTTCTGTTATAACTAGTGGCCCAGTGCATGAAATTCATGCACTGGGGTTGGGGGGAAGGATGTCCTTCAGCCGGCCTGCATCCTCTCCAATCTGGAACCCCTTGGGGGATGTCTGCCTGCCGGTTTAGGCCTGGTCCCTATGGGACATCTTTCTCACAATCTGGGACCACTGATTCCTAACCGCTGCCTGCCTGATCACCCCTAACCACTCTGTTTGCCAGCTGGATCACCCCCAAATGCCCTCCTGCCAGCCTGATCGCTCCTAACCACCTCTGCTTCAGCCCTGCCACCATGGCTTTGTCCAGAAGGACATCTGGTCTAATTAGCATATTACCCTTTTATTAGTATAGATTAGGTCTTTGGAGTCCTCTCAAAGTAATGTTTGTCTGTTGAGAGATGGTCTTATGTTTCCTTAGTTTCATGTCATGTTTGAAAATGAAAAGAGATATAATTCACAATAACCAAGTTGTTTTTCGTGGAATCCTGTGTGGTAAGGTATTTTGCAATTTAGATTTTACTGATCCACCAACATTTTTTTCCCTCCTGCTGGGAAGCAGCACCTCCCCTATTTTTTGGAGGGAGGAGGAGGGGAGGGGTACTTCTAAGGACCTGCCTATTGTAGCATGTCAGCTCTAGACCCAAACAGGGCTAACACTGGTACTTTTCTCCCCCGTTGGCCGCAGTGGTTGGCCCACAGGGGCTGGTCACCCCAGCTGGAGCAGTCAGGGAGTGTGCAGAGCTGCCCACAGCATGGCCTACCTCCGCCAGGCAGCATACCCGGAGGCCAGTTGACCGGAGCAGAAGAATGCAGAGAGAGAGCTGGTCTCAGCCCTACCTAACACTTACTGCACGCCAGACCTTCCTGTGGGTTTTGCAGGCGGGCCTGTGAATTCCCAACTTTTATTGAGATCTTTTTCACTTAAAAGTTTTGAAGGAAGGACACTTGAAAGTGAAGTCCCATTGTCATAGAAGTTTGCAATTGCTCCTAATATATCTCACTCCTAGAGATTCTCGGCGTAGGTGAACTTATTAAAGGATATAAAGCCTGTGGTGAAAGAAGCCTGCTTATCTTTGTTTAACCCAGTGATTCCCACTTGTTTTTAACATGAGTGCTTTGTTAGGATGCTCCTATTAGCATCCCAGAATCCTGACTAGTGGCTCACTGCCTGGGAAATGCCGGCCACGGTGTGGAAGGTACAGCGACGAGCTGACAGAGGAAAGGCGCCTTCATCTTGGAGCTCGGTTTTGAAACGCACTAACATTTAATTCTTTATAGGAAAATAATGCTACGTTCTATTTGGGCAAAGAGTCGGAAACATCTAAAAGACAGATTTCATTCAAACTTCTTTCTTGCGCAGGTCAGCCAGTACACCTTTGCGATGTGCAGCTACAGAGAAAAGAAGTCTGAGCCGCAGGAACTGATGCAGCTGGAAGGATACACCGTGGATTACACGGATCCCCACCCAGGTAATTGAGTGGAGCCTCTTGCCCAGCCATCCACGTATTCATCAAGTTCTCAAACACAGTCCGTCTCTGTTCTTCTGTCTCCACTCAATGACTGGGGTGCATATTTCATTTATATTCCTGGACAGGCTTTATGAAAAGCAAACTGTACCTTTTTGGGGGCTACTTCACAGTAGCCATACTCATCATCTCTGTTATCTTTGTGCAGAGATTTCATCTCACAGCACACATAAACTACTTACTAAAATTCTGCAGCACACTAAAAAAAAATTATTTTTTTGCTATTCTGACCCCCCTCCCCCTCCCGAAAAAAAAATAGATGTGCTTCCCACAGCATGGCTGCTTTTGTGTTGGCTATTGTCATGTTTTCATGTTACAGTCTAAGGGGAAAGAGGTCAGTGTGCGTTTGACTCAGTAGTCAGGTATTGCGTGTTTTAAACATTCCTGTAGCACACAGTTGAAAAATCTCTGTCTCAGTACGAGCGTGAAACATGTGAAAGTTACTGTTAACACAGATTAGAAGAGAAATAGCATCAACGTTTACTTAAATGTCCTTACTGGAAAGCAAAATGTATAAGAGACAGAAATAGGGAAAGAAATGACAAATGGATTATTACATGTTCTCCCAGTTTTGTCCCCAGCACCACATTCTGTGCTTCTCTTCCCTCCCTCCATATTCACACTAGGACCAATTCTAGACTCTTGGTCACTAAAGCTGGTGAGGGAGTGAGGGAAGGAAACAACATGTGGAGATTGGTGAAATCAGTAAAGTGATACTAAGAAAAATGTAAATAAATATAAAGATTGAGAAATTAATATATAGAGATTAAAAACAGAAATCTGTGATCACATGCACTAATTTTGCATTCATTTAAAAAGTGAAAAATAGCCGAAACCGGTTTGGCTCAGTGGTAGAGCGTCAGTCTGCGGACTGAAAGGTCCCAGGTTCGATTCCGGTCAAGGGCATGTATGTTGGTTGCGGGCACATCCCCAGTAGGGGGTGTGCAAGAGGCAGCTGGTCTATGTTTCTCTCTCATCGGTGTTTCTAGCTCTCTATCTCTCTCTCTTCCTCTCTGTAAAAAAGAAATAAAATATATTTAAAATATATATAAAAAGTGAAAAATACCTTCTGTGTGAAAGAATTTTGCAAAAGATAAAATACCTTATAATGGAAAGTATTTTGTTGCTTATCTGTATTTTTTTCCAGCTAAACTCATCACATAGTTCTGCATAGAGAATGAAAAAGCATGCCTACAGATAAGCACTTCTCTGACATGAACCGTCAGACTAGAGTATGCATTTCTATGGGGTAGGCTTGTATATCTTGCACAATGCTACTGTGACATGAACTATTTATTTCCCTAAATTATTTTTAATTTGCAAAGCAATATGGAGATTTAATCCCTTCTCTTACTGTCTCTCTTCCAGTTCTTGGATCATGGGTTTGATCCTCAACTAAGGTATTGAGCAGCTAGTATCAAATCGATTCGTTTCCATGAGACCACTTAGTGAGCAAGATTAAAACCTGTCAATTGTGTGACTCTTCAGTGATGTCTTTCTCCTTTTCAGGCCTTCAGGGTGGTCGCATGTTCTTCAATGCTGTTAAAGAAGGAGACACCGTGATATTTGCCAGTGACGACGAACAGGATAGAATATTATGGGTTCAAGCCATGTATAGGGCCACAGGTCAATCTTACAAACCCATTCCTGCAATTCAAACCCAGAAGCTGAATCCCAAAGGAGGCACTCTTCAAGCAGATGCTCAGCTTTGTAAGTTTTATTTAAAGAAAAATAATTTGATTATCAATTAATAACCTTAATGAGACATAAAATCATCTGAGGCAAATTTGTTCAGTGTTATAGTTTACATCATGAACTGATTCCTAATTGAATAAAAGTAGTTCATATTAATAGTCATAGAATTAGTTACCTAATTTTCCCCACAGATCTAGAGTAAATGGTTTCCAATCATGAATTTGCCAAGCATTGGGGTATCTCTGGGAATTTAGCCAATAGCCATATAAGAACATTTGCCGAAACTTCTCAAAAGAACTTTTATTTTAACTTTTGTAGTTTTAAGTACTTATGTGTCCTATAGACGTTTTAACTGTGTTTTATAGAAATAAGAAAGTATTGCAATAGGAAATTGGCATTGATAGGATTTCTGAAAGCTAAAATGATGAACTATTACTTTCTAGATTTGATCTTCACAACTCAGAGGATAACAGGGCTATTTTCTGTTGTAGATTGGTAAAAAATAATAAGTCATCAAGCCACCTTTTTCCCCCTTAAATATCTTTATATTTATGTCAATTTTATATGCTAATTTAAATCATTAAGAACTATATTTTTTGGCCCTGGCGGGGTTGCTCCATTGATTGGAGCATCGTACTGATATGCCAAGGCTTCAGGTTTGTTCCACCGTCAGGGCTCGTATAAGAATCAACCAATGGATGCAACATAAGTGGAATAACCAATTGATATTTCTCTTTATCTCTCTAAAAAGTAATAAGTCAAAATAAGAAATATATTTGTCACTTGAATTTATAAGTGATTAATAATAAATTATGGAACTATAGATACATTTTCAAGCATGGCTTTTATAATCATTAGGCCAAATGTTCTAATTTGTTATGCTGCTTTGTAAAACGTCTCTAGTTTCTCCTGAAATAAATCCATGTGTCTATAAATTTAAGCTCAAACAGTGACTTTTCAATCAGCACCTTTTACTCACAAGATTCTTCTTCTCAGAGGAATAATATCTTGACGCGCATTTTCTCTTCCTACTTGTTATGCTTCAAATAACTACTCCCTTTTCTTTCTGGCACCCTTTAGTGCCACATCTGGACATCTTAAAGGCACTTTAAATAATTACAGATGAAATATGAATTCTAGGCACTTTTGTGCTTTGGGGATAAATGATATACCTTTAAACTTACCACAGTCCATCATCATGTGATATCACTTGGTGCATAGTATGTAGACCCTACACAAATAGACTTCCATTTCTTCCCTCCTGGCCTCTGAGCTAGTCTGGTCATACATTCAACTTCTACCTCTGTGGGAAATCCCACAATGCACTGTTATTATCATTATTCCTTAAACAGTTACCTTTTAAAGAAATTTAAATAATATGGGGAAATGGTATATACTCACCCACTTCTGGTGCTCCTCATTTCTCAGACATATATTTTATTTCTTCTTGAAGGCCTTCCTTTGACTTTTCTTGCAGTGCATGCCTTATAGTGATGAATTCTATATTACATATGAAAAAGTTTTTACTGTTGTTTTGAAAGACTTTCTTTCACTACTTCACAGATTTTGTTCTACACTCAACTAAGTTGCTTCCCCCACCACCATCACCACCATCCCCAATGAGAAATGTACTATCTTTTTTGTCTGCTCCTTTGTATATAATGTGTATTTTTTTTCCTCTGGCTGCTTTGAAATTTTTCTCTTTGTGCCGGTTTTGAGCAGTTTAATTATGATGTTCGTTGGTATAATTTTCTTCATGAAAGTGTTCTTGTCCTTTATTCTAAGACATAGTTAAAATGAAGTTCCTTAGAAATCGTTGGAGCCTCTCAGCTTTTGCCTTTAAGTTTTGGTAGGTGGAATCAAACAGGGTCTAATCCAGGGTTAATTTCCCCACTCATGAACCAAGATTCTTCTTAAGGACTCAACTGGTGAGCCCTGAATTTTGTGTTTTTATATTCGGACTATTGGGAACAAGAGCTGTTCCAGGTTCTGTGTGAGCGTGGGCACTATCCCCTCCAGTCCTTTAGAGTGGTTCTGCCCCTGACCTCCTATGGTTGCCTCACTGGCTGAGGTGACCAGGATTCGAGTGAATCCTGAAGGGAAGGGGCAGGAACTACAGGGCTCACCTCATGTTTCCCATTGCTTAGTAATCTCTCTCCTACTTTGCCTGATGCCTGATGTTTTGAGAACAGTTTTGTTTTTTTCTATTTAATTTTTAGTTCTTTCAAGTAGGGTGGGTGAATCTGTTTTTAATTATACCATCCTGACCAGAAAGAAGCATAGTGATTATTTCAAGTTAGAACAAGATTTCTCAGCCTTGGCACTTAACATTCTGGGCCAGATGATTCTTTGTTTCAGGGATTGGGGAAGGTCTGTCCTGTGTATTAAAGGATGTTTAGCACCTTCTCTAGCATCCACCCACTAGATGCCAGGAGTACGCCCTTCCATCCCCCCACTTAGGTCTGACAACCAGATCTCCACACAGTTCCAAATGTTCAAGAGGTCATGTTTCCGATCTGAAAGGATTTTCCCCACTTGAGAACCAGTGAGTTGCAATGACTTGAAAATTATTTTTGTAAAAATATCTCACTTATTCACTTTCGTTGCCATCCTAAGTGCTAAGAATAACCAAGGAGTGTTCCGAGCTCATGGATATCACCCATCTTGCACAGAGAGGCAAGAAATGTGGTCAGGAACTACGAACCTAGATAATTAAGGCCATGGCTGTACAATACAGAATTAATGAATTAAGGCTCCAATGATCAATTGATTCAGAGTGCCGTGCAATCTCTCTGTGGCTAAACCTTCTCCTATTAGATGTGTGCTGTCAAGGCAGTGTTGGTCAGGTTTATTCTAAAAAACCAACCTGTTTCAGTTGGGTAAAGGACAGCTTTCTTGTATTGTAGGCTTGTAGTAAGTTTTCCATTAGAGCAGACTCTGCCATTTTATCTTTCTTTAAAGAGGAAAAATAAAGAAATAAAAGAAGGAAGGGAGGGAGAAAAATGTGTTTCTACCTCATACGGGTGAGAATGCTGAGTGTGGCCTGTCCTGGAGATGCCAGTGGGCCACTGTGGACAGTCCCGCCTAGCACTGCTCTCTTGGGAAAACAGTTCTTAGAGTCATTTGTAGGCAGCAAGAAAATAACAAAATTAGCCTGACTAGTTAGAAAAAGAAATGAGTTCCTAACCCACTTAACGATGCTTTGCTTTTTAATTTTTTTGCTGACTGATAGCTGGTAAGGGTAAGTATTTTCATGGGGTTTTTTGTTTGTTTTTTGCTTCACTATAAAAATGTGGTAATGACACAATTTTTAAAGGAGTATCAAGACATTGTTTACAATGTCAGTCTCCTTTTTTCTAGTAAACTTAAATATTTAGGTTAACTTTACCGTTTATGAAACAAAATGTCTATTTTTGCCCAATAGAAACAAGCTGTTATCTATCATTCATATGGTATAAAGGTAATGGCTATAAAGGTGATAAAGTAGCATGCAGAAAAAAATGCTCAATGAGGTTAAATGGAAAAAATGCTAAATTATGTATCCAATACTATTTTCACTAAGTAAAAAATTTTTTAAATATAGGTAGAATTATACCTAAAATATTCACAGTAGGTGAATTTAAGTGGAAGGACTAGTTGCTAACTCATTTGTTCTCCTGAATTTTCTGTGTTATAATTTAAAAAAAAAAAAAACTTGTTTTCAAAACTAAGCATATCAGATATTTCAGGATAGTCAGAACAAAATAATAACTAATAAAATCTAGCTTATTGGAAGACAATTTTGTTATATTTTTAGGATATAAGTATTGGCATGTTCTTATACATTGCTCTGTTAAGAGAATCTATTCTTATCTATTTTCTTGACTCCCAGGATATATAGAAATTCTGAAATAGGATGGACACTTCCGTTAGCCTGATTTATGGAACATTCTTTGATTAAACTATCCTTCTTTGCTGTGTCCAATCAAACTAACATACAAGCACCTTATTTTTCATTTTATCTTTTAATTCGTGTATGTAGCATAATACAGTGTGTATGTTACATAATATAGAATTCGACATTGTGGACTTCCAGTCATTAATGTCCAAAATTAAACAGAAAAGTGACTTCTTTTCCATTTTAAGCCAATTTTTAATCCTTAAATCAGAGTATATATTTACATTTAATTATATAAGCTAGTTTTCCTGATTGATCTAATGAGTTAAATTTCACACATAAGGTAAAACATGTCTTGCTTTACATTGAATATATTATTTTAACTAAATGTTGAATATTGGTGTACTTGGCCTGTGATTCTAGGTCTGTATGTGTTGATTAAAATTGTCATCATGTGAAAATATTACATGTTCAGAAAGCAAGATGTGTAAATCTATACATCAGTTTTTAATCAGTTTAACAAAAACAAGCTAGGAAGTCATTTGGGTCAATAATAGAGGTGTGAACAAACTTCTGGTTAATGTACCTGTCAACCATTTCTCTTCGGTCTCAGCATAAAACATCTATACATAAAACACAAACATACCACCAGGTTGATCTGAAAAATTTTAAAATCTATCTTTATTGTTGAAAGTATTACAGATGTCCTCTTTTGTCCCCATTGGCCCCTTCCACCCTGCACCCCACCCCTCCAAGGCATATAGCACTATTGTCTGTGTCCATGGCTATCACTTATATGTATATGCATTGTTTAGTTCATCTCTCTCTCCCCCCCATCCTTACTTTCCTCTGAGATTGGCGGATCTCAGAAGGAATCTACTTAAACTTTTAACATCAAGTTCTTCCTGTTAGCAGCTCTAGGGTGCTATAAGGAGGAGTGGTGTGTACTTCTCTATGCCATTTTTAAGTCCCTGCAGTTTTCAAGCTCAATGAGAGTTTTCGCTAAAAGGAAAGTATGATCAGGTGTGGGTAGCAGTACATGCAGCTCCAGGCCAGCTCCTAAACATAGGACAACTTTTAACTAAGTTATTGTATTTGAAAATGTTCATGGCTGCTTAGGTCAGCTGGGGGTTTTGCAGAGGAGGTGACCATTAACTAGCAACACCATCTTCTAAGTCGTTTTGTGTCTCAAGTCCCAGGTCTGGACACTTGAGCAGTCTCAATGCTAGTGAATGGCCACCTCTTCTCCTTCTCAGTGTGATGGCGCAAAGTGAAGTATATTTGCATAAAATATCTTTAATTGTGCTTTCAGGCATAGAAAGGAAGAAATCTGGAAGCTTAGTTTTTTCAGCCTATGTTTTGAAGATGGGATAATCCCTAAGAATACATTTTACTTTCATAGAATTATAACCATGGAGAGTTATGTGGAGGTTTTTTTTAGAGAATTTTTAGTGTGTTTGTTTTCTCACTGTCACTATAGAATTTGTATATGTGACTTAAATTTCTATCATGAATATTATTTTATCACAATTGTTGGGAAAAGTAATTATCCCTTTATGTATATGACTCAGAAAGCCTTGTCACATTTATGGTTTAGAGTTATATTTTCATGAAGTACATTTATTTTTGAAAATATGATTAATTATAGAAATGAACCATAGGTTCGTTTTTTTCTAGGAGCTTGTATTATATATTTTATTTAAGAACTGTATACCTATTGTTTTAAAATATAAATTTTTTTCTACAAACCTTTATAGTTAATTGAAAATTGTGGGCGTTTTTTTCCTCTATTACATATCCTTTTCTCAACAGATAAGCCATTAATGGGTGTTATTTTTAACTTCCTATTGTGACCTTCTCTGGTGAAAAAAAATAATGAATAAAATTTAGCAGATGTTTTATAAAACTAGTAATTTAATTTCATAAAGGTGATACTCAAAGATTTTGTACTCAGCTAAATGCAGAAATAAGGTTCTAAGATACTTTTTAAAAATAAAGCATAATCTTCTGTGTTTATATGTGCCTTGCAGCTTTCAACAGTTTGCCTCATTCTCATGTGATTTTATTTTGCCCTATCATTACATTTAATTTTATATTAAAAGCATCACACATAAGAATAAAATGCATTGGAGGTTGAATTGTCTCATTTCAGAGTTTAGGAAAAGGAGTTTAGTGTTTACCTAGTTAATACTAATTTACCACATGTACTATATTTAACCATCCAGGTGAGTATTACATATAAAGATATACATATGCTACTTTTTCATGGATTATGACCCCCTACCTTTCATCATCAATAAATGGACATTCATTGCTTGCTACATTTACCTTTTGAAATTGTAAGATATATATTAGTTTATCTCTTTTTTTATATATAATGTGATTCTGAAGGCCCTTCAGTTTGAATTATGTAGTTCTTCCATCCATAAATATGGCTGAAAGTTGAAGCTGACATGGATCAATATGATCTGGGCTAAATATCTAAATGTGACTGATTATGTTAGCATCATGTCCACAGATCAATATTGAGTTTTATTATAAGCCTGACTCTATAATTGGGTTTAATCAATAAACTTTTGTCTCCTTTCCTCTGCAACTTTAGGATTGCACCATGCAAGTTTTAAAAACCACATTTAGCTTACATTTAGGGCCCTGCTTCTTGTGGTGACCAGAAACGAGGTCTATCTGTGAATTTTAAGGAACAATGGGGCTTCAGCTCTACCATTATGAGGAGAGTCCCCTTTTATCTTGATAACTGATTGCTTGACCAATATGCGCACCATTTCCAACAGAGCTAATGTAGTAACACCCAGCACTTCTTTGGGGTGGTGTGTGGCTCTTTCTCTCTATCCTTAATAAAAAACTCACATTGAGGACTTGGACAAAACACGCCATTAATGAACGCAATCATAAAAGCTTGCCTTTTGATATACCCGCGGGGTCTACAGGCGTGGAAAGATGCAATCTGTAAAGAACAATGAACTTGGGCCTTTGATTGAAGTGCCATGTAGGACCTTAGGCTTTGTCTGCATATTTGCACAAACATGATGCTCCCTTTTTCCTCTCTTAAACTTGAAGCTTGAGAGCATTCATTGCCATTTCTGCATTAAGGTTGGTCCCATTAAAGGCTCTGTACAAAAAAATAAAAATAAAAAAGGACTGGAAATGATCCAGCTAAAGCTTGTGTGTTCATTTCTGTCCTAGTTTGCCATTTGGGAAGCAAGCTTCTAGCTGTAGTTGCAGTTTTTTATGAATAGGCTTGGATTCTTTTCCAGTCATTCCTCAGTCGATATGTACTTAAAATGCATCAAGTTTTCCTAAAATTGGAAAATACTGTTATTTCTGTGATGAGTATTAGAAGTAGCTCTGAAAGAAAATAGGATTTTGTCACCTCATTTTCAAATGACTTGCAAATTTTCCCCTGTCATTTTTATTTGGGCTCCCCAAAAATTGCAATTTATGTTCATATGCTGAATTCATCCTGTTTTATGTAATAGAAGGTAATCTTTTGTTACTATATGTTGTTGTTTTAAAAAATCCATTTACCCATTATTAAACCATAAATATAAATTGTATTATGCATGCTTTTCTGAATTCACAGATGCAGACCGTTTTCAGAAACATGGTATGGATGAGTTTATTTCGGCAAACCCTTGCAAGCTTGACCACGCCTCCCTTTTCAGAATACTCCAGAGGCAGACTTTGGATCACAGGCTGAATGATTCCTATTCTTGCTTGGTGAGTACAAGTCTTTCTGTCTGGTTCCCCACAGGTTAGAATTCAAGAGGTTTAAAAGTGAGAAATACTTGTTATGAAGCGGCATTTTATTCCTGACTTGTTTAATAACTGTAGTTGAAGTTAGGGGTGAAGGATTCCAATCGATTGCTTCCCAATTTGAAAATTATACACTTGAAGACCACTGCTGTGCCACTCAATAGACAGGAGAATAGACTCAGGCAGACCCTGAGCTGTGGCTTATCAGTCCCTCTGGAGAAGGTCGAATGAAAATAGAAGGCTTTAATGATGACAAAAAAAAAAAAAAAAAATGCCTCTGTGACAGGATTTACCAACACCTGTACAGACATTGTAAGGTTTAAGTTCTGTTCACCAGAGGTTGATAAATTCTCTTTTGTTCCCAGAAAGACAACCTCATTAATGGGGGAAAGAAACAGTGGGATAAAGAGGGCAGGGGGTATGTATTTAACAGGAAAGCTTTAGTCTCATCTAACCCTCAGAAGATCGTTTGAATTTCTTCAGTTATGGAGAACAGGTTGCCCATACCTTCCATGGCAATGAAGAGATAATGTTTTTAGATTTCCAGTGTCCAAATCAGTTCAAAACCTGGTGACATTCAATATTCAGAAAATAACCCGAAACATACCATTAATGAAAAAATGTCCCAAGACACTTCAGCCCTTGCTGGTTTGGCTCAGTAGATAAAGCGCTGGCCCTATAGACCGAAGGGTCCCAGATTTGATTCTGGCCAGGGTACATGCGCTGATTGCGAGCTCAATCCCCTGTAGGGGGTGTGCAGGAGGCAGCCCGTCAATGATTCTCTCTCATCGTTAATGTTTCTATCTCTCTCTCACCCTTTCTTTGTAAAACTGATATAAAAAAAAATTTTAAAGACACTTTAATTCAGCTTTTCTTTATGATGCATAACAGTGCCTTCAGAAAAGCAGATCTCAGTACTGGGGGGAAAACCAATCTTTTTTTTTTTTTTTTTTTTTTTTTTTTGTAGGGTTGGTTTAGCCCTGGCCAGGTTTTTGTGTTGGATGAGTACTGTGCCCGGTATGGTGTCCGAGGCTGCCACAGACACCTCTGCTACCTTGCAGAGCTGATGGAACACTCAGAGAACGGTGCTGTCATTGACCCAACCCTGCTCCATTACAGCTTTGCATTCTGCGCCTCTCACGTGCACGGCAACAGGTATTTTAACTTGCAAACACACAGTGAAAGGTGGGGGGTGGACTTGGGAAGGGTGAAAACTGTGTTTTGTCATTATCACCTAGTAACAGATTTTAAATAGCAAACATGTCTTCTGGGAGAGAAAAAAAAAATCCCACAAAGGAAAAATGTACAGCGATATGTGGTTGACTTAGGTGGGCTGCTCATTAATGTCCCTTTTGGCCGTTGAAGCCGCTTGGAAAAGAGAGTGAGAGAGAGAGCATAGCTGGGATTAGACTTAGACGTCACCTCTAAGCTCTTAAGAAGCTACCTTGGACCAAGGTCTGCACAGCTTGAGTGTCATTGGTGTTTCTGTTGTGACGCATATGGAGGTTTGCAGATTGTGCTGAGAGGTTTGTATATTCCTAATGATCCTGGCTGTTCCATGTGGAATAAGCTTTCATTGATAAGGCAACATAAATAGTGGAGTTTATGAAGTGTCTTCTACCAGCCCCTTCCCTAACCTGCCCTTAGCACTCCAGTGACCTCTTGGCTTGCTTTACCAGAAGGGCAAGAAATCTCTTAATGCAGACTCCCCAGTCTGTGTACCTCTGAGCTAAAAATCTCTCCCTGTCACTCCCCTATCTTTTCTTAATTCCTGTTCCAGAGAACCGGGGGCTCCTCCATAAATGAGGTACCAGGACCCCATCCCCTTCTTAACTCGGTTTCAGCAGGATGCCATCTCTCCCTCTTGATGGCATTCTGGTGGAAGCAAGTCAGTAAGGGGGTGGGGTCGTGGTACCTCATTTCCTTTCGTTTCCTTTCTTCTCACAAACCTGGCCAAGCTTCACCCAGCCTCTCCACATAGCAGATTTGTGAGGATGTCCTGAAGTCAGACTGCCTGGCTTCCAGCTGCTACTCACGCACTGTGCGAGGTAGGGCACACTTCTGAATCGGTGCGTCTCTGCTTCGTTACCTTTGAAAGAGACATACAATAGAATCTCTCTCAAAAATCACCAGTTGTGATCAGGATTAAATACATTCTTATATATCAAGCACTTAGAACCATGCCTGCCTGGGACATAGCCAAAAGCCATTATGTGACACCCTGTGTCATCTTAAGTATTGTCATCATGTCAAGCTGCCTTCCCGCTGACCTCTGCCCTGCCTGCCTTCTGGCCCCTCGCTGGCCAAAGAGGCTCTCTGAAATGGAGTGTCTAATGACATAACCCAGTCATCTCCACCCCAGCTTCACTCTCCTGACTCTCTTTGGAAGGTTGTTGCTATGACACATCCTAGACCCTGTGCTGCTTAACGTGCTGCTTCTCTCCCTGAGGCAGCACCACCTCAGCCTTCCTCTCATTCATTTTTTGACCATCTCTTTGCTCGCAGGTCCTGCTCCTCCAGACACCAAGTGGAGGCTACTGTTTTTTCTCCCATCTGTTCTTAAACTTGCTCTCTTCTTTCTGAGACCTTTCCTACTTCAGCAAAAAATTCAATTTCAGTGATTTCACAGCTTCAATTATGACCTCTCTCGGTTCAAATAGTCCCAACCCAGTTACTCTCCTACAGAACAGAACTTCGCCAACAATGGCCGGCTTGGATGTTCTGCCAGGACTTTCAGACCTCATATAAAATTAAATCCATCATCTCATCCAACAAGCTCCTGTACCTCTCTGAGCTCCTAGCAGAATGCCTGGCAAAAAGCATCACAGCTGACACAAAGTGTTCAGTAAATATGTGATGAACGAATGAATGGCTTTGTTATTTGTACTACTGTGACTTCATTCGTGGCCTGTTCACTGTTCATTCATCTTTTTCTTGACCTTCTAGACTCTGTTTGTATTCCATCTGCATAGTACTCAAACTTGTCTTTCTACCATTTCCATGCACCTATCCCTATCCTTACCTTTTGTTTTTTTTCTTGCTTATTTGGGTTTGTGCATCTTTCTACTGCTGCTCTTCTCCCTATAATAGCCTGGCAATTGCCTTGTATGTTACAGGTTAATCTTTACTATACTCTTTCATAAAACTTCAATGATTCTCATTTGGTTATTAAATTAAAAATAGAATCCATGCTATAATGTTTGGGTTTTCTCAATATCACCATCTCATTCTCTCTACTTAGTATGAAGAAGTCTAGATAGTCTACACATAATCTTTACCTATCAGATACTCTGTGTATTTTCACTGTAATGTTTCTGTTTCCAAGTGTTGTAATAGTTAGAATCACAAAATTCCTTTAAGAAGACTTAACTTGTTCAAACACTAAACACCTTTTATCTGTAGCTTTCTTATGAAATGTATCATGTATACTTACATGCTATAAACACACACACACACCTGCTTCAGTTCTACTAGATCATATTTTGAAGGCAAAAACTAGTCTCGTTCACCTGTTATCCTCTGAAGGTCTTACCTCAGCGCCTTGCATATTGCAATAAATACCTGTTGAATTTTAGATGCCATTTCTCACCCCAAAGTGAAATAAAAGCGATCCTAGTCTCAGAACCCACCAGGCTTTGCCCTCATTATGGAGCTCAGCCTTTTCTGGAATTCAGGGGGGTGATACAGGTTGTGGTTGCTTTTCGCATCACCTCCAATGAGACCATCTGCACTCAGCAAACTTGAGGAGTGCGGGGAGTGAGAGGAGCAGGCACAGTCAGGATGGCTAACCATTGATAACCAGCATGGCGGGGCTGTTTTACTACAACTGGTCTTATCTCCTGGCTCCATCCTAATCCCCCCTGACCAGCGGCTGTCAGAGGGCAGGCCTCCAGTGTTAGGCAGCACTCCCGGAAGCAAGAAGATAGCATGGATGCAATGAAACAGACATACCAGCAAATGTTGCATGATAGGATTATTTTTTTCCTTAGCACAGAAAGTTTACGTTAAATTAAAAACATTAAGTGGGAAATTCAGCTAATGCGCCACCAAACTGTATGCATTGGAGACACATTTTAATGGAAAGTTATTCAAGCAGCCGGGAGCTGCTGCCACTGTCTGGGAGGCAGCCTGATTGAAATCTATAGGTTGCCATAGTTACTTGTATGCTGTAAAAGTATTGTTTTCTTTGCCATGGTACACTGTAAAGTGAAATTTGAGATCTGTTTGTATGTTCATGCATATGTTAATAGTACAGATTAAATCCATTTTCCAGATCACAATATGCACATTTACAGGTGTCTCTGGATATGTTTTAGAATAGAAATTTGAGTCAGTCTCTGATCCAACATTTAGGTCGCATGTAGCTTAAGTAAAAAGAAAGCAAGGCCCGGCTGGCATGGCTCAATGGTTGAGAGTCTATCTGTGAACCTGGAGGTCACATGCCTGGGTTGCGGGCTCGATCCTCAGTGGGGTTGTGCAGGAGGCAGCCAAGCAATGATTCGCATCATTGATATTTCTATCTCTCTCTCCCTCTCCCTTCTTCTCTGAAATCAATTTTTTTTTAAAAAAAAATAGCCAAAATCGGTTTGGCTCAGTGGATAGAGCATCAGCCTGTGGACTGGAAGGTCCCGGGTTCGATTCTGGTCAAGGGCATGTACCTTAGTTGCGGGCACATCCCCGGAAGGGGGTGTGCAGGAGGCAGCTGGTCGATGTTTCTCTCTCATTGACGTTTCTAGCTCTCTGTCCCTCTCCCTTCCTCTCTGTAAAAAATCAATTTAAAAAAAATTTTTTAAATTTAAAAAAAAAAGCAAGAAGTGTAGGTTTTAGAAAAATTTGAACCTCATTGTAGGCTAGACATTATACAAGATAAACTAAAAGGTATGACGCTCCCTGTAATTTTTAGAGTTAAACAGATGCTATGCTGTCGCAATGATAGAATAAAAAGAGGCAGATCTCTACTTGAATCTCAGCTCTGAAATTTGCAAACTGATTCCTGTCGGGCAAGTCATTTATCTTTTCTGAAACAGAGTTCATATGTAAAAGGGGAAATACTAATGTGCAGGTACTGGATAATTATAAAATGCTATGTCTGTATTGATCAGTAATTATTCAAATATGCTTCTCTTTGTCAAGAATGTAAATTGTGAGAGAAGGAAAAACATGAAAAATCGGTGGTTATGCCGAAATATTTCAGTGTGTATGTAATGATACTCCTAATTCCTTTGCTGATAGAATATTCAGGTTTGAGCAACCTGTCCTTGTGAAAACTAGCGTCTCTTAGCCATACCTGCAGCATCTGACTCCTACACAGCTTTTCATTAAATGTCAATGTCAAGTCTGGCTTTCCAGTCAGAGTTAGCCATCGTCTCCTTTTATGATCATTTTTACGTCTGTCACGACATACATGGAGAGAGTCATTTCATTCGTTGCCTGAACTACCTCCGGCAAACAATGGCCAGGAAGAAAGATTGCCTTTTGTTCCTGCCTGATGTGAAGGACAGCAGTGCTGTCTGGCAGGAAAGTTTCTCGGAAGCACATCCTCTTCCCGGCGTTGAGCGCTCTGGCGTGTGCGTTCTGTGCAGACACATCTCTGAATAGCACTCTAAGTGTCTCGGGAATAAAAGAATAGAGCTCAACAGAAAAGGTCTGGCTGGTGCTGGGACTGAGAAAGAGAGGATGAAAAGAAAGGGAGAGAGGAAAAGTGAGTCAAGGACAGAAACAGACACACACATCGTGAATAACACAGCCACTCGCTCCGCCACGGCGGCCGCAAGGACCGACAGGGAGGAGAAAAAGACTTGCAGGGACAATGCATCGGGGGCAGAGTTCTAGGCTGATCTGTGTGGCTTTGCAGCCTGGTTTTGTATGTCAGGCTGAGGGTGGAGAAACGACAGCGGCGACACAGAATGGCTTTTGTGTTTCCGTGTATTGTAAGATCCGCAGTGTGCTCCCTGACCCCAGTGCACAGTGCAGGGCCGCTCAGACGTGCCAGCTCCCAGGACAGGCTGCAGCGGAAAGGCGTCTCTGTGTCCTGTGGGGTCCGGAGTGGTGGGCAGCACGGAGTGGTGGGCATCAGTCAAATCATAGCAGCACGAAACCTCCATCTTTTTACCTGTCACCTCAGAAATTATGCTTCATCTTCCTGTTTCTAATTT